CCGCTCCCTCCAAATGGCATCAGTGTTTATGAAATAGAACAAAATGTACTTCCAGAAACCCTGGAAAATAAAATATATAACAATATAACAGCTGTTTAAGAGGTATATTTAGCTAGTTCAGCTTTCTGTTGCTAGTGACACCTTACCGCTGTTTGTGAGAACATGAAAGAGATGAAGGAAAGGAGAAACAGAAGAAAGAGGACGACACACTGACAGGATATTCTGGTGAGTTTGGAAAGTACTGCAGTTTGGAGCAGAAAGTCCAGCATATGGCCTATCTCAGTGGGACAGTGGGCTTCCAACCACCACACCCCCTTGAATATTTGGTTTCCCCCTTGCCCTACTCTACACCCACGCACACACACTGATCATCTCTCCATCTATACTCTAATCATTTTTCAGGCAAGGAACTGAGGAAGAGAGGGAGCGCCACTAAGCCTCTCTCCCAGTGGCTGCGTGGGTGTGCATCATCCCAGTGTTAAACAATGTGTTGAAACAGATCAGCCCTGGACATAACGTCACGTAAATTACCGTCTCTTTCCCTAAGCCGGGACTTGCCAAAACACAGAGCTGAAGCAGTCGAGGAGGGTGAATTAGATAAACATTACATCTTCTCTTGAGCACAGGGGACATACGTTTGCAATGGAAACACTGAATCACGATCTCAGGGGAACGACCGTCACTGTTTTACAGGGTGTTAACTGCACATGAAGTATATTTAGTAGACAGGGTCGAGTAAATACACATCACAGGGGGATACGTGGTAAATTAATCTTTGACAGTTTGAGTCCATCTTTTTCTTCTGGCTGTTTTGAGCAAGCTGAGATGATGTGAAATGAAAAAAAGAGAAAAACCACAGTATGGTATAGTAACAGCTGGGAGTACATTTCTGCATTTAAAGAACATAAAACAGCTGTTCCTAACATTATAGAAAATCTTAAATATTTTCTGTAATGTTACCCAGTGTCATAAAAGTTCAAATTAAGCTATGAGGCCATCTAGTGGTGTTTAGCTGTAATACGAAAGTACTAATATATGAGTAGTGTAAAATGAAAGATAACAAAATAAAACAGTATACAAAAAACTCATAAAGGGAATTAATTTTTTAAGTTCTAGATAAAAAGAAAAGTCACTCAAAGGGAAATTAAATAATAGTTTTTGGTGTAAAAAACCATAACTTTGCTGCTTAGGTCACAGTAATATCTGCTCTTTACTATCTTTCTCTTTATTGCATCATCGCCATCATCTCATTTCTTTTTTATCTGCCTCATATTTTCCAAATAATCTGTATCCGTGTCATTCCCTGCTCGTCCGGAGCAGCACCTGTCTGCCAGTTGATTGTTGGGGGTCAGGAGTTTGGATGGAAAACGATCCTCCTCTGGGAAACAGCCAGAAAAATGCAGGCTATTTAAAGACTTTTCGATAATGAGATGGCACGGGTGGAATCCTGGAGCCGTGTTCTTTCATCATAAACACATGCCCACGCCTCTCAGCAGCCGTAACGGATGCATCTACACTCCCTGATCTCTAAGGTGTCAAGACTAAGAGATTCCTGGGGGTTTGGTGGCCTTGTTTTTACTATACAACAGCAAATAAAAATAAGGCAGACTTTTCCAAGATTATGTTGAATAATTCAAGAAAATAAAACAGCTAAATGAGCTAAAATGAGAGAACGAATAAACTCCACATTTCTACTTGGAAAGCCCATTATATGTCCTGCATGGGGTCCTAAAATTATGTTTACATGTGCAGCCGTCCCACTGAATATGTAGTTGTACTTCAGTTGACGGATGAATATTGATGGACTTCACAGTAGCTACCTACATCCATCTTTTATACTGTTTATGAACAAAACACTGTTTCGCACTTGTGTAAATCAAACTATACTGTCATCTTGTTGCACTTTCTCTCATTTGGATGTTGAGAATAATGCCCTGACATGCTGTTTGTTGTTGATTTCTAACAATCGATGCTTGATTTTTTGCACTTTGTTTGAAACTGGGTTTTGCATTGTTTGTAACTGACTCTGGCTATTACTGTATAACATTCCAGTTATTCATCTTCTTCTTCTTTGTTCAAAATCAGTACAACGTCAGGGTAACATTCATAACAACACAGTCAGACAATACATCGAGAAAAAATACTGGACAGCACAGACAAAAGAAAGGAAGCACACCAAATGAGAAAAGCTGCATTAATACCACAGATGGTTTTAAAAAAGAAATAAATGTAGCCCTGTGAGTTAGCTCATTGGCTTTGGGCTCAATTTTAGCAATTTTTCCACCATCATGTTAGCTTTTTGAAGCCAGAAGTTTTTAAGTTGTCTAATTGACTTACATATCATGTTTAACCTGAGTAGCGAAAGCCCGCAGGGGGTCTGAAATGATGTGCAGGAAGTCCAGTGTTCTCACCAGCTCTAGTGAGCCTCGACCTCTCGGTCAACTTTGAGCTGGTGGGTAACAAACGTCTCTGGAAACATCAGAGCACTTTTGCAAATGATGTCTCGAGCATAGCCATTGAGCAGATATTTGAAGTTTACACAGCTACATTCTCGCCTAAAAATATCTTAAAAGTTTATTTTGTGACCCAGAAAGAGTAATATTAAAACGAAGTAGCTGCCGCCATTGTTGGAAACTGGAATTCGCTGGGCCGTGCTATGAATTCTGGGATAGGTTGGAGCAGCCTTCGAATTGGTACAGCCTTCGTCACCTGGCTGTGAATTAATCAGCCTTCAAATGGGGCCAACGAAGGATGCAGCCTAGGAATTGGGACACAGCTAACATCAAGAGGGTGGACGCTAAGTTTTCAGCAAACTGCTTAGCAAGCTATCAGCTATAGAGATTGAAAATGTGACGTCATTTCCGGGGTAAAACCGCAAAGGATTGTAGGTACGAGTGGCAAGCGGTACTAGCGCATGCAGGCTTTCACATGAAAACAGTCACACAGCGATAAAAAGAAACACAAAGAATGGCAAGGAGCTGTTGTATTACCACAGCCAGATTTGATCGGTTAAGAGGGAGAGCGAGATCAAAACAGCCACGAAAAGTCCTGCATATATGTGCCCAAGTGTTGTGTTGAAACAATCAAGTGATGAATAACTGTTTTCCAGTATGTTGTTTTGCAATGTTGTTGGGTTTTTTTTGCATTGTTGATTTGTTTTTTTACCGACACAGCTAATAAAGCACAATGGAATACAATTTTGCATCTTTCCTGTAAGATTCTATAATAGAATGAAATAATAATGCCAGTTATAAATAAAGACAATAATTGAATGAATTACGAAACTCATTTTTTCTATTAGATCCAAAAATGTTGTGTAACACTACAACCTGAAACGACAAATAGATTGCGTTGGCCTGTACAGGAGATAAAGAAAAAAAATCTAACAACAGCGGTGAAATGAAATAGTCCAAATCACCAAAGTAAACTGGACCTGGGATTGTTGCAGGGATCTGAAGTTACTAAACATTTTGTGAGTGTATGCACTCACACTTAGGACCATATAATAATAAATATGTGCGTGATGAAAGTTGGGCAGCACACTAACATCCTTACTCCACTCTGTATGCTCGTATGGGTCTAACCCTTTCACTTTTTTCCTCGTACTTTTTTTTTGCCTTTTCGTCAAGTCTGTCTTTGTACGGACCTGCCGTGTTCTCCGTTGTTTTGTACATAATTGGTTTTGGGACAAATAAAATGCAAGTAGGGATTAAAACCGCAGAATTAATGATTACCGGTGCTGGAAATGCTAGCGCTTGATGCAGTGTTTTGATTTTGTTGCCACTCGTACCTACAATGCAATGCGCGAAAGTCACGTGGTCTGTCTGTCAATCTCTATTAGCAAGCATGGTTAGCTAGCTTGGTTAAAAGCTAGCTAACCAAGATTTATAAGCTTTATGAGCACAACACGGACAACATAGTGTTCATTAAGATGAGACTAAAATCCCTAAATTTCATTCACCAAAACTGAAGCACAAACAATACCACACCGTAAGACATATGACTTTCAGATAATTTCACAATAAAGCTCCAAAAGGCATCAACACCACAAACACACCTCAGCAGTACAATTCAATGACACCATTTACAGGGGGTACGGTTGGGAAATAATGATGGTCAACAGTTGGCACCTGCCTTTTCATAGAGGCCAGTAATGTTTTTTATACAAGCCAGAAAACATGCCTTATCATGCTGTAAAGATCAGCACATTAAAGGATCTTTCAGACAGGAAGTGGGATGTGCTGCGATGACTATTAGGATTTTATACTCGTCGTGTGGTGCCTCACAAATGGCAAAGTGCACATCAAATTGATGTCATATTCACTGTTGTTACCTGCCTCTTAATTTTTTATAACATGGCATGTTGTGATCGCTGGTCACCAAGCCCTGCCTGTACAACATAATTAAATCTCTCGCTGATGGCCTTCCCGTCTACTTGGATGCATATCACATACAAGTCAAACATGGCCGCAGTCAAAGTTCAGCTGCAGCACACATAAATGCTCTTTAACCGGCGCACTTATGCTGCACTTTACTTAATGCAATGCAAACACATTATTGCAAGCCACAGAAAAGAATGGGCTTCAGAGTGCAGCACACAATTGCAGTTTTCAGCACTTCAGCGTTTGCTTGATTTTACAGCTCCTGGTACAAACAATTGCTTTGGCAGGTGTGTTTGTTAAAGAGTTTCGTAGTATCTGAAAAACAGTTCAGAGCTCAAAAACAAAAGTTTTGTCACATTTTCAGTCAATGTAAAAATTGTGCACGCGAGCAAAATTTTGACACAAATGGAACCTCATACTCTCGGGGTGAAACAGGCAGCCTGCTGTGCCTCTTCTTTCTCCCTGCACAGTGTTTATTAATAGACATAAACAGACCCGGGGTAGTCATGGTCACGCATAGCAGCACAGTGACTGAGTGAGAGGAGGCTGGGTCAACTGTCTTTATCCCCCCTCCTCTCTCGGTTCATCTGTACTCGCTGCTCCCGCTCATTCTTTAACACTCACTTTACTTTTGTCGTTTGAACCAGAGCGCCTTGATTTTATTCTTGCTCAGCAGATTCATCATCGGGATACAGCAGGAAGGCAGAAAAAAGGAATCATATGTTGAGAAGTAAGTTCTTGTGATGGTTTAAATTAATTATACGTTCATTAACTTTCTGTTGTTGTTCATAATGCAGTTTTTTATTTTTACTGTGGCCTTTTGCTTAACTGATAAGGAAATGTTTTTGTGTAAGATGGACATCAGGCGCATGCTGGTGCTGTCTCTGGGTGTTGTGCCTTATCCCAGCACCTGTCCTGCAGCGAGACAGCTGGTCCCTGTCATATCTTCTACTGAGCTTTGTTCTGTTAGCAGTCAAACATGTCAAAGAAAGAACAACAAAATGTAGCTTCTAAAATATGCTCATTAATTACATGAAATGACCTAGTTAAATACAAGCACAAGAGTTCTAGCTTGATTTTTTTGCTTTTTTTAGTTGGTTTCAAACCAAGAAACAGCATCTATCACATGAATCTTGTCTCTCTTGTCTCAAATCTCTACCCGATGACATTATTGGGTCAATTTGATCAATTTACCCTTGGGGAGTATCTGGCTAGTCTTGGCAAACACCTCAAAGGGTACAGTTACAGCTGCATTATTCACCAGGGGAGACTCCAAGTGCCCATCCATCAACAGGGACAATGACATGTTATGATAATCTGCTTGCTGGTGTAATCTCTGTAATGCCACTTGCTGGAACTTCAGATGAAAACTGTCTGTGTGTGTTTATATCCCTAGACGTTTTGTGTTCATTGAATGCATACTTGTCTGAGGTGTGTTTGACCGTGGCCATGCACTGAATTGGTGCCCGTGGCACCTAGCCTAAGGGAGCAGCTGTCAAAAACATACCCTGCTAAACCATGCCTCCACATGCCTACATGTGCTAATGACATCAGCATAGCTTGCAAGTCCAGCCAAAACATTAACCCAGCCCCTATTGTATGCTCACATGTTATCATTTTAAGCCAGACCTAATCTATAGCTAAGAGGCCTGAGACTGCCTAACGTATTCATCTGGTTTAACAGGCCTTTCTGAGGTGACTTTTACATCAAAACGGGCAACGGGAATTAGGCCAAACAGATGGATGATCTAGATGATAACATTTCATCCTCTGGTTTTGAGCCACTCCTCATTAAGGAAGAGGAGGGGAATCTAGAGAGATCCCTCATGGAACAAGGAGAATGCAACACAAACCTCCAAGACCTCACCTTCACAGGCGCACAGGTAAAGCAATCAGCTTTGATAAAGCCATACCTACAGGAGATGGATGACTTACTGAAGAGCTGTGAAGAGCTCACTGGTATTTCCTTTGGCTCTCAGTACTCAGCAAATTATACTGAAACAAATCTGAATGAATCCAGTCACGGTCAGGCAAGAGAGGAAGTAACAGTGGAAAAGTGTGGAGAAGCATGGAAACACCCCCAAGCCTATCTTTCACCTAGCTACATTGACACACACATAGATGGGACCAGTGCCGAAGAAAAGCCTGGCCAATCGCATTGCATGGGAACTGTCATCAACAGGTGTGGCGTGACCACAGAACGCTGTCACCAGGCAGAGATGCCTCTGACATCAGCAGGTAACAAACTGAGCAAAACCATGGTGGAGTATGAAGGCCAGCTGCTGGGGATGCTAGCCATGCTGGAGGGCTGTATGGAAGAAACTGGCATGGATTTTGAACCCCAAGAGTGGGTTACAGATGAAAGCCAAGAATATGTACACATCAACAAGAACCCTCAGCTTTGTAGAGGCACAACACTGGTGCCCATTCAGCAAGAGAGGCCATTAAAGATGGAGAGCCAGCCAATGCAATTAGACTCCTGGGAAGAAGGTCAAGTTTCCAAGGACACCGGGAAAAGAATGACAGTAGGTTCAACAACAAATGGCAGCCAGCACAAAGATTTGTCTGGCCATGACATGATGGGTGAGCTCTCTGTGGACCGATCAGAAAGCCCAGGTCATCTAAAAACAGACAAGGTGTTCGGCTTTTCAGAGACACCCATAGATACTACAAAAGAGAGCACCATGTACTGCGAGGGAATGAAGCCTGGACATATATTTGATGAAAGCACAGAAACAACAGGAGATGTGATTGAGATTGATGTAGATGCCAATGAACTCCTGTCTGAGAAGACAGAAGAACTCAAGAGAGACACCTTAGATCTGGGATCTAGCGTGGCAGAATTGGAGGCCTTGGGGACTCAGATGGAGGACTGCATTGAAGGGGTACAGCGATTACAGAAGAGGAGGAAGGAGCTCCTGGTAGAGGTGCTGTGCCTGAGAGGGGAAAAAGGCCAAGGGGCAAGTGAGGAGGAGGAGGAGCGGATTGATAACAAAGTGGCAGACCTGATGAATGTGCTCAAAAAAGAACAAGAAGGCAGAAGGGAAGAAAGAAAGAGGGAGAGAGAGATCCTCAGGGAGGAGAGGGCAGAGGAGGAAAGAAGGATGTGGAAGGTGAACCTGGAGAGACAGGAGCTACAAGATGAGCTTAGAAAGCTGAAGAGGAGGCTATTTGCAATGGCGAGGGGCTGCGCCCACAGCCAGGCAGCTCTGAACAACCAGCGCCGTGAAGTGGAGATACTAAAGAGAGAAGAGGTAAGAACATAATTACATTTCCATCCATCATGCATTTCCAACCATTCATTCATCTTCTTCTAAATGAATTTCTTCCAGGAGAAGCTGAAGTCCTTGGTGCTCCAGCTGATAGAAGAGGGCTGCCAGCTCAGGCTGGCCCAACAACAACAGCTCTCAGTAGTAAGAGTGAAGCTCCAGGAACAGAGCTCCAGTCAGACTACCAACACTGCAGAGGAGCTGACTGAATGCAGGAGGCATTCATGTGGGGACATACAGCAGTATGTGGAGGGTGGCCTGAAAGCATTGGAGGACAGGTGCAGTCAGTCACCAAAACATGTGTTTTTCTTCCTTTTGACACACACAGACCTTTGGTAGTGCCGTAGTTTTAAGACATAAAAACCCACTGACACAGTGTTACAGCTATAAAACACTAAAGCTTTCTCTGATTTGCTTGTCCAGGTATGAGCCCATTTTGCTTGCACTGTTGAAGAGAAGAGAGGCAACAGCTGGCGCAATCGTTAAAGCCAAAGAGCAGGCCCAGGAGCTGAGAGCCCAGCTGAGACCTCTGATGGAGGAGATAGAAAAACTGAAGCTGCAGAGGGCTTGTTTGGAGGAGAAACTCAATCTAATCCACATGCAAAGAAGAGAAAACGTGGGGCAGTACAAGGTAACCAAGGTGACTGAGGAAAAAGTAGGGCATGACGACAAAAACACTGACATTATGCCTGCCTCTCAGGAGACGGTGCACTGTCTGGAGGAGAGCAGCAGAGAACTGAAGACTGAGTTACAGATTCAGAAGCGAAAAACCAAAGAGATCAAGGAGTTGAGAGATAGCCTTAACGAGCAGCTCCTACTTTACAGGTAATCCGTTCATCAAGTCTGCACCACACCTTTAAACCTTTAAGCCTGTAACTAGATTGTTTTTCTTTACAGAAATGCCATTCAGGACCTTAACAAGGGTGACAATGAGGAGGAAACATGACTGTTCTTCACACAAAATGAGCTTGTGTTTTAGGAAACATAGTAAACTCTAAAGGTTTGATCAGTGCACTTTAACACATATAAACATACATGCTGTTACAGGACAAAACCAAGACCGATCTTTTTTTTTTGTAAAGATAAACTAGACTGCAGCCTGTAGGAAAGTTTTTGTTATGAATAAACGCAGTGTGTTCTTTGTAATCTAAGTGCCACTGATGAGTTATGTCTGTCTCTGAAGAGCAGACTGGATTTCTTGTACTTATAAGGCCAACGTGCCTGAAGAACTAAACACTGGGACACAGACGAACAGGGTGAGTAAGCCTCAGAGACGGGAAAAAGTACCAAAACATCACAACACAAAAGAGGCCTGAGCAAAGTGTGACGAAGCATCATCGACTCTTTCACTAAAATGATTAAAAACTGTGACTAAAATGCTCACGTTTGACAAGGAGACAATCCTCATTTTCACAGAATTACAGGCATAGTGAACATGTTAAACATGCAAAATATTAAACATGCAAAAAACGTTTGTGGCTGAAGGAGAATAAACTGTGCTGTACCATGAGTGCCAAAATGAATCAAATAATATATCAATAAATAATTCAGTGTCATTAAATGTATGGCTTAAATAAACTTAAATATCTATTCATGTCACTTTAAAATTTTATGATTTTAATTAATTAGATTTCATTTTAAAAAAACTAATCAATGACATGTTTAATTGTTTAATGAGGGATTTATTTCATTCATTTTGGCACTTGTGGCCCTCCATACAGTAACTTTTCACCCTGAAAAGTAAAAACCTGCATTTCTTTAAATGGCCAGCAGAGGGCGATGACTCTGAAGACTTCTGGCTTTATCTGTGTGGAATTAGGTCTTTACTCCTTTGCTTTATGATCCAGATAAACAGTCTGCTAACACTCAGTTACTATTTTGAGGTCATAAAGAATCAAACACTGAGTTTATTTTGTTAATAAATTAGGGTGACTGTAAGGGTCAGAAAGGAGTGTCCAGTGCAGTCAGTGCTCCTGGACCAACAACCTGTCTAGCAGAAGTCATTGCTTGTCATTTCCAGTAAAAAAAACAAAAACAAAAAAGGATGAAAATGACAACAGTACCTTCTAAATCTCTCTTCTATAATCATCTGTAGTCCACAAAAACCAGAGCAACAAGATTTCAGGAACGTTACTTCAAGAAAGTCACATTCAATGCCACTGTTCTGTGGACTGCGTCAAATTCTAGCTGGCATTGTACTTAACATTGTAACATAATCACTTTAAATTGTTCAATAACACTTTATTAGGGAAAGAAAGCATTTAAAATATAGCATTGTACAAGGAAGAGCCAGTTAGATTACAAAAATACAGATTATACATGAGTGCATTGACAAAACAAAAGTAAAGAAATAAAAAAATGTGAAAAAAGTGAAATTCTTGAGGCAGTAAGTTACTAAAACGAGAGTCACTTTCAGTGTTCCAAAACAAGCCAGCGCTACATTTAGTCACACTGTGTTTTTAGCATTTAGTGTCCCGATGGAAGCAGAGCAGGATGGCGGAGTAGCTGAGTGGAACTATTTGTGATCAGGCTTGTAGGTGAATGCACACGACACGTGGAGGTGTTACGCGGTAGCTTCACTTTCCATTGTACCCTCAGGTTCTTCATCATTGTAGATGTTCTCAGCCTACACGGACAAATCAGTGTCAGTTATTCAGACTCAAAAATATTAGCTGTGAGAAAACCCTTTAGTAAAAATATGTCTAAATAAATAAAATAATTGGCAGATGGAACAACACACTCACAAAAAACATTAAAAAAAAAAAAATCGTATGGTACAAGGCAGAGGGATTGAAAGCTAACATGTGGTCACAGCTGTCTTACCATTTGCCACACTTGCATAATGTTGTCCTCAGACACAGAACAGGTGACCCAGGGTTCATTGGGGTTCCAGGAAAAGTCTGAGATCTTAGCTGTGTGGCCTCCGTGGATAAACTAGTAAAGAGAAGAGAAGCTTCAAGTTTCGGCATACATCAATGCAAGATGGCGACACTTCTACAGACTTCAGCGAGTCTCACCAGAAGCTCAGGCGGGCCGTCCTCTGCATCTTCTGGAGACTGCTCCTCACCAATTTTACTACAGAAGAAGAAATGAGAGTTAAACTTTATACAAGGCAATGTCACTACACTGTGCCACACATTTCAGGGGTCAACTAAGTCTTTAAAGCCATCTGTTTTAAGAAGGTCTTACAAATAATGTGTGTACCTGAGATCCCAGACATTGAGGCGGCGATCTGTTCCACTAGATGCTAATACGGTTTCATTATGAGGTGACCACTGAACCTTAAACAGAATTTAAGGCGCTGAAGGTGAAAAGCAATTAACGCAGCTCATTCATTCATCATAAAAGTAAATCTTTGAGTTACTGTCTGTGTGATTCACTGCTTTGGAATTACAAGAACATCTTGGCATCTGCATCGGAATGATCATCAGGAATATTAATAATAATAATAATAATCATCATCAAAATGCGGAAGTGTATGTTGAAGCCCACACAGCCACTATTTTTCTCAACAACACTGATATCAGCAGCAAAGTCATTGCCGTCGCAGTTTAACGCCGAGCTGAGCCGTTACACACAGCAAACAGCAAAGAAGCGGTGCTCTGACCAAGACGGTGAGTTTGTGTGGAGTTTTTCTACAGTCCACAACAGCAACGCGTCTTATTGTAATCGAGATTAAAAGCTTCACAGGTAAGAGGACTAGCAGCAGTACTTGATCAAACCAACATGTTTGCTCAACGAGCTCAGACGTGAAGGAAAGCATTTTTCCAGTTTCTCCCAGCCACTGAAGTTTGTTTGTAGGACAAAAACAAAACAAAAAAAAAGCTGCAGAAGTTAAAATATATTATTTAGACAGACTGCTAACTTACTTTAATATAATATTTAAATTTACCAACCTGCTACAGGCTGAAGGCAGCAGGTTGAGTCAAAAGAGGCATGTACTACATAAGATTTATTTCAGTGCTTTATTTTAAAATTTAAATCAGTATAAAATATACAAAATTATATCACTGCACCACTAGATACTGTCCTTATTTCAGTACAATTTCATTCATATAAAGAAACATCTTACCTGAAAGATCTCATCTTTGTGCGACTCAAAGGAATGTAGCTTTAGCTTCAGGTTTCTCAAGTCCCAAAGAGCCACGGTCTGTGGGCGGCACAGATATATTACAACATGCCTGCAACATTTTCTGCAACAACACTGCAGTTACAAAACTAACAATACCATGAGGATTATTTAGTCAACAGTTACAAAATGCACTCAGTTAAAAGTCCTGCTGTTAATAAAACAGTACCAATTAAAAAGTGGTGGAATATTTTATCACCTTGTCTGCTGAGCCGGTGGCAACGATGAACTCGCTGAAAGGGTTAAATGACAAACAGTTGACCTCTGCTGTGTGGGCCTCCACTGCATGGCTGGCATTGGAGGTATTGTTTGAACGAGTGTCCCAACTTAAAGGACAAGACACAGGGTGACGCTCATCCTTTTGCTGCATTTGAAAAAACTGTAAGTGTGCTTCACCTGCGCATAGTATTTGACTGAGAGCCTTACATCATAAGCTTCTGGTCGTCTGCTACAGATCCAAAGAGCGACTCGTGAAGCAGATGCCAAGAGACGTCTTCAACCACAGCACCGTGACCGGTAAAGACCGTCTTTGCATTTACTATCCTGGCCTCCTTGGGAACAGCACTGATGTCCCACAGACAGATTGTCTAAGGGACAAAAGCCACATAAAAACATCAAACCTCATGTTTGCACTTCAGTTTTGTAAAAACGTAGTAAAATTGGAAAATGATTGTTAACAGCAGGTTTTTGGCAGTGCACATTTTTAATACCTTCCTGACATTTCATTAAGGTCAGTTTACGACAGCATTTGTGGAAAAATATTTAGACAGAAGTCATTGTAGCTATGTAAATGTAAAGCAGGGGTGGGCAACTCCAGGCCTCGAGGGCCGGTGTCCCTGCAGGTTTTAGATGTGTCCTTGAACCAACACAGCTGATTTAAATGGCTAAATTAGCTCCTGCAGTTCTCCAGAGGCCTGGTAACGAACTAATCATGTGATTCAGGTGTGTTGACCCAAGGTGAGATCTAAAACCTGCAGGACACCGGCCCTCGAGGCCTGGAATTGCCCACCCCTGATGTAAAACATGGGTCTCAAACTCCAGTCCTTGAGGGCCGGTGTCCCTGTTGCAAACACACCTGAATAAAATTAGTAGCTCATTAGCGAGAATATAGAACTCACCTGCATGCTAAATTTAAGTAAATGTAAGTGTTTGGAAAAATGAACTTCTAAAAGTACTCTTATTGCACCATGTTCATTCACTCACATTCATTCACAAACAGCTGAATCGCCACCTCAGCATGCAGTCTAAAAGTTGCATAGTCTTGCTAATGACTTACTAATTGTATTCAGGTGTGTTGCAACAGGGACACGTGAAAAAGTTGCAGGACACCGGCCCTTGAGGACTGGAGTGTGAGACCCCTGATGTAAAGGATCATCTGACTAAATGATTTAATTCATCAGAAATGCTAGTTCAATAACCTAATTGTAGAAATAATGCTCTGTGATAACTACAGTAATAGAAGCTGCAAATGAACAAAGCTGAGAGCAGTTTAATAGTTAAATTACGAGCATTTCCATGTGCACGTCACACAGACAACTCGAGGGATTGGAACCAAACAGTGGTGGTTCCAATCAAGCAAGTGGTCATGAAGGCTGAAGTTGGCCCACCAAAATATCTGTGTGTGTGATGTTTTTGGCAAAGCAGTTTACTTTTATTTATGGTACTGGAAATATAGTGATTATAGTGATAACAAATCTGTAAAATAACCCTAGTTGGAAATATCTGCTGCTAAAAATGAAAAACAGAAATATATTTAGCACCATTTCTTCATAAAACAAGAACTACTTCTTCTTACGTGATCATCTGATGAACTAAGAAGAGCTCCTGACAGATTTGAATTCCAGGATAGACCATAGCCTTCTTTCTGGTGGCCTCTGAGACGCAGATCAGGGCGACACACTCCTGCAGTATCTAAAGACGACATAATAGTCAACAGTGCAATAGACTTCCATACTTGAAATGTGCAATTCACTTGTATTTTTATTCCTATTTATTCTACTCATCCCCTTTGTATATTTTATTTATATATGTCTCTGTATTTATATGTGTGTGTATATATATATATATATATATAAAATATTCTGTAACTCTGTAACTTCTGTCGGTGCTGTGCTTTTTGGAAACCGAATTTCCCAGAGGAACCCACCCGAGGGATTAATAAAGTTTTATCTTATCTTAATAAAATCAACTGTCAATTCAGAGACACTGGAAGAGAAGTGCGAGTCTAAAAGAACTGAACAGACAAGTTTGTTTTTGACTAGTGATTCTCTACGCCCAGTATTTATGTTTTGATGAAGTTGTATAATTGTTTTAATACCAGCAAGCTACCAATCACAATCCAGTTTTTCATAACGTACTCAAGAACATGCCATCTTCAGCGGTGTGTTG